CAGCATTTAGTTTCTTGAAATGGATATCTCCTTGGTGGAGTTATGTTGTGCCACAACATAGACAGCTGCTGTCTTCAGAATGTTCCTTGTAGAGATATTAATTTTGTTATGCATTTAGCCTTAGCCAAATAAACAATACTGTCATCGTGCATGCTTCTGTAGATGTGTATATATACAATATAAAAGCAGTGGTACAAATACACAATTAGAATTCAAGATTTGATATCTTCATCGCTATTTAGTAAAGCATAGTACTCTATATGCATTTTTGTTCATTTATCACATCTATACACTGCCAGAATTTAAGGCTATTGATGGTGATGGTGATTTGTCTCAAAAAGCAGTTATTTGACAATGTAGGACAATTAAGCATATTATTTCCAGTAGCTAGGTTTATGCTTCACCCTAAAACAATACTGAACAAATTGATTCATAGTTTGGATGAATCGATGAATCCAGCTGCTGTCTGCCTCTTAATCAAGGAAACATACACTTACAGCAACACCTGGAGATAAAGATGGGAATACTGTAAATGGGATTTTATAAGTTGTTTAGTAGAACAGAAAAAAGAACATCAGCAGATAATTGGAATCTTGTTCAGAGCAGAATCTGTTGAGAATCTGGGCTTATGATTTACACAAGTGAGACTGTTGAGGTGTTTACTGCCTGTCAACTAAAACATTGGACTGATTTCAACATTCATACAAATAACTGTGTGAAATTCAGCAACTTAAGAGAGATTGAGGTGGGGTCTTTCCAATGAACCCAGTGAGAGATTTAGGCTTTACCCCAGTGGTGAAATTCATTTTTTTTTTACTACCGGTTCTTTGGGTGGCTTAGTGGGTGTGGCAGGGGAAGGATACCACAAAATCCACATTCCCACCCCACTCTGGGGCCAGCCAGAGGTGGCATTTGCCAGTTCTCTGAACTATTCAAAATTTCCGCTACCGGTTCTCCAGAACCTGTCAGAACCTGCTGGATTTCACCCCTGCTTTACCCTGAACATTGGTCTCACTGCTGTTCTCTTCCTTCCTTCCACGGCCTAAAACCCTCTTCCTCTTGCTGATCCATATTGTAAAAGGAAAATATTCACTATATTAATGACTTTGTAGACAGCAGAGAATTAAGACAAACTGGAAGGACCTCATTCAAAAACATTCCCGTTATTTCAACCCTTTTCAGCATTAATACCCTCTCTTGTGAACTCTGGCTGAAAAGGATGGTGCCAGCAATTTTTACAATGTGGTTGGGGCCATTGGCTATGCTTTCTGGGAATTGGCTATAAATGCACACGAGTTTACAGCCAAATAATCTGCAGTAGCATGATTCCACCCCCGACAACAGTTCTCATATATTTGAAGCAAAGCAAATTCATATTTTTTCATATTTTTGGGATTTCCACTTTCTTCTGTCCCAGGCATGGTAGGCAACAGCAAGAGATTGTTGAAGTTACAGTACAACACAACTGGAAAACAACAGATTTTTTGATCCTGTGCTAGGTTATCAGCAGGAGATCTCTCATGGGATCTCTTGCATCTCCAATGTAAGCCTTTTGCCACCTACTTGGTACTTCCTGCTTTTGTGAGTTAAGTGTTTCCTTTAGGGGACATATGATGAGGTATCAGATGTACCAAGTCTAAAGGATACAAGTAAGATTAAGGTGAAGAACTATCTGCTCTGACATTGATTCACACATTTAAATTAAACATTCCATGAAAGAAATGGAGAAAGGGACTGAAAAGCAATATAGTTGACCAGGCAGTTAAGTATACAAGGAATATGGAGTGGCCGAAGAAGAAAATCTATGTCGAGCAAAGAGACCAGAGTTGGTGTTCAGCAGGTTCTGACCAGTTCTGGAGAACCGGTAGTGGAAATTTTGAGTAGTTCGGAGAACCGGTAAATACCACCTCTGACTGGCCCCACCCCCATCTATTCTCTGCCTTCTGAGTCCCAGCTGATTGGGAAAGAATGGGGATTTTGCAGTAACTTTCCCCTGGAGTGGAGAGGAAATGGAGATTTTACAGTATCCTTCCCTTGCCCACAAAGCCATGCCACGTCCACAGAACCAGTAGTTAAAAAAATGAATCCCACCACTGAAAGAGATACTTTTCTCTGCTTAACATAAAAACCAGTAAGTTATTATCAATTATAATAATTACTGCATTACATAATTCTGGGTGTGAGCCTTTCAAAGGGAATTTGTATTAGGACAATTTTAATGGATTAGAAGAGTTGGAAAAATCTTGGAGATTTTCTAGTCTAGTGTTGACTATTCTGGGCAAATGGTTGTCCAGCCTCTTCCTAAAAGCCTCCAGTGATAGAGCAACCACAACTTCTGGAGGTAAGCTATTCCACTGATTAATTGTTCTCACCATCAGGAAATGTCTCCTTAGTTCTAAATTGGACCTCTCCTTCCTAAGTTGGTTTGGAGTATAGGTTGACTCCCTCTTCTCTATGACAGCCCCTCAAATACTGGAAGTCTTTCTCTTTGTTAAGAGCTAGACATACCCAGTTTGCAACTGTTCATCATATGTTTTAGCCTCCAGCCCCTTAATAATCTTTGTTGCTTTCTCTCTGCACTCTTTCAGCATCTCAACATCTTTTTTATATCATGTGACCAAAGCTTCTGTTGCTGTTGTTGTTTAAATGGCATTTTCAGTATGTGTAATATTCTGCAAAATAAGAAGCGAGAAATACATTGAGACACTTTTTCCACTTGCAAGCGCTTCCCAGCAATGCTTCCTTACACATGACATGCTACAGTTCCTCACCCATTAAAACCTGTATTTGTTTGAACCACAAGGTGGCAGCCTGATGACCGCAAATATTCCACCACAGGAGACTGCAGGAGAATGGGGTTCAGTGAGGGCATTTGGCCATTTGTTTGCATTACATCCCTTTGAAAGACTTCAAGGATGAAAACCAAGTCTCAGATAAGATGGAAAATGAACTATAATGAATAAAAACACAGGTACATTAATGATGCACAGCTCTGGACCTCTTGCAATATATTTAAAACTACAGGGATAAACTGGATGCGAGTGAAGCTTTATCCCCGGAGCTCATTTTTGTCAAGAAGTGACAGCCAGGTTGGCTTGCACTTAATTTTATTTTCTATTTAGAAGAAGAAAGTTTATTTAGATCTTCAAGGAGCCCGAGTTCCATTGCAGAAAGAATCCAAAAGAGGTTGGCGGAAGCTTAACTTTCAGTGCAGCTGGATCTCTGAAACGCTCAACTGGTATCAGCTTTTGGAGATAAAGGTTTTACTCCAAATATTCAGTTATATTTAAATAATACGGTCTGTATTTAGGAATTATAAGTATCCCCTTGCTAGCATTTCTTGGGGAATCACATTAAAAAAATTCCCAGGAACTTTGATGAATTTCAAACATTTGGGAAAAGTATGGACAGGCCCGACTGTTTTGGTATCCAGTTACCATATTGTGTGCTTATTCCTCTGTGAAAGATAATAAACTTGGACTCAGAATGAGATAATAGCAACTTATGGTGATGCACACTGACTTTTTCCTCTTATCTGGAACATCTTTCAAAAATGAGAATTACTTTACCAGCGCACTTAAGTACCCACTTTTTTGTTTAATCTGGGAACCATCAGAACTAAAGAACAGTATTGCTACCTGTTTATATACTTCCAGTTATTGATGTCCTTCTAACTGCCACCACTATTACGTACAGACAGAAAAAGGATGTAAACAGAACTGAGTCAGACAGCCAACTTGAATTGGCTTGTGTCCAACTCAACTCCCCAGGCAAGAATGGAAGCAGAGCTGTTTCCCTTATACAAGGATTCCTGGTCAAATACCTGACACTTCTAGTTATAATAAACCACTTGAAGCTGAAAGGAAAGCTGCCTCCCAAAATAGTCTGTTTTCCCCTGCTCTCATATCCTTTCCAGAACTTTGCTAAGGAGCTGTTCAACTGATACTATATGTTATTCCATCTCTAGAAGTGGAACCTGAGCTATGGTTTAGGAGACACATTGTAGGATTTTGAAACCTCCATATGGATTCAACTTCATTTCAGAGAGCATTCTTCCCAGGAGCACTCTTACATTTACCAATTCTTTATGTGGTCTGGCATTTACCAAACTGGTTAGTTTTCCATTTGGGTTACTGAACACTTAACGGTTTCCACACGATTGGCAGTGTCAACCCACTGTAGTGAAAACAAATGGTCTTATGCCTCCCCTCCCATTTAAAGAATGATAGAGTTATAAAAAGTTATACTTTAAAATCAAGTATTGTAAGAATCTTGATATCTTGCAGAATTTTGGAAATCACTTGCATAGCTAGGCATAGCAGCCATTCATTCATTCATTCATTCAATTTCTACATCATTCATCTCACCTAAATGACTGTTTTAACTTTATCTTTCCCAACTCCGCCTTGAAATGTGATATTGGTTTGCGTATTTTCCTGCATTAAAGAAGCTTGAAGTTCTTTATATAAAGACACTAAAGACACCACTTAGTTTAAATTTTTCTACTAACTATAGTTATGCTCTTCCCAAATAATTTTAGGCATTGTGTACATACTGTATTTTCCTTCTGTTTATATCAGATAAAGGCAAACCATGAACCAATTACTGTATATCCCACAAGTCTCATTTTTATACAACCCCCCGAGATCATGCTGACTTATAATAGATTTATGTTTCAGGGTTTTTTTCTTTGTAACTAAGAAATAATAAAATAAGTACAACCAACCCATTAGTATGTCTATTTTATTCAAAAGCTCTATTCTGTCAATATGTTCATTAGTGCTGATTTTTTTCTCATTTCACAATAGCTATTATTTTCAATTAAAATAAAATAAAATCCATAACTTCTGTAAAGGGCATCAGTGGTCCACATTTTCAATTTTCAGTTTAACACTTTTAAGGGAAGGATACTCATAAACAGTTCTTCTCATGTGCCTCCAATACCGCATCTGATGTTTGCCCAGAAAAATCGGTGAGCTACTGATTGGAAAATACACAGTTATAGTTAAGTAAGTATGTTTTAGTTCTCCAGCAGAGTAGTTAACCAATGAAGGCTTGTCAGAAGCCAGGTTTTCAAGAGCAAGTTTAAGGATGCTTGTAATGGGAATTAAGAGCCATCAACCTACACTTAAAAGAACCGGTTTGTCTGGTTTACAGATCACTTGTTGAGGTTGCAAAATAGAAAAAGAAAACAAAATGCCCTGATCTAGTTAAGTACTTAAAAATTAAAAATAAAATAATAGATGGTCTCAACTATTGAGGAGAAAATGTTTATATATTAATTGTAAAAACCAGGCCTAGCATTACTGTACATTATAAACTTCTGTTTTCTTCAAATAGGCCAAAATAAGTTTTAACATTTTCTGCACATAAATATTAAATGATTTAAAAGCTGCTGTTTGAAAATACTACAAATATAGACTTGAATATATTTGACCTTATATCACCACATCAGATCAGTAACAGTTATTAATGTAAAGTGCAATAAATAAGGTGCTTTTGGCAAAATTAGTTACTTGTTTTCATTTTTCTGTGAAATCAGTGTTTTCTCCTCATAGTTTATATGTGATCTTAGTATTTTCATTTCCCAAAAAGTTATTTTTTTATTTGTAATTTTAAAGAAGAAAAAAATGCATACATTGAAGAAAAGTCTACAAATTTACATAGAAACAAAGATTAGTTGTTTCAAAACTATCTGGTCTATCTCCAAAAATTATATAAACCTGGATCAATTCCAAAATATGTCTAAATTGTAGACTAATGTGATTAATATTTCAAATAATTACCTCTGCAAATTCAGGGATAAGAAGTTTGAATTTTCAATAAATAACTTTCAGTGCCACTATGCAGAATTTCATAATTTGTAAAAAAGATAATTGTTAACAGCTAGTTATATATTAATGGCAGAGTGCAATCTTAACATTTTGTCAGTAAATCTCTTCTTTCTTTCAAGGATCTGACCACTAGAATTTAAATGAACTTTGTGCGCTTAATAGCTGCTATAGTTAGTTGTACAGTTCTGCAAAAGTCATTGATTGCTAAATCTGGGATTCCATTGACATTCTGTTTAATGTCACCAGAGCTCTGTCGTATGGCAGCTCCATTGGACTGGAAATTTTGACTGATTCTCCAGAAACCTCAGAATGAATAATTAAAGCGTCAGCACTAAATGATCTGATTCTGATTCCTGAGGAGCAGGAAGAAGAGGAGGAGGAAGAGGAAGAGGAGGAGATTTCTGGTTCTCCATTTGTTGTCTTATCACAACTTGTGTATTCTAGTTCCTTTTTATCCAAATACTTGGCACTACAATAGGGAGCGTAAACCTCAGTGGTTTCTTCAAATTGCAGGCAGTTGACTTTGTAGTATTTTTTCTTCAGTTGCAGAACATCATTGAATCTGTGTCCCCAGAGGATTTCTCTTGGCACATAGGAACTTCTTGACTGATGTGATGTTCCTGTTGAATCTCCAGTGTAAACAAATGTAACCAGGATCTCAAAATTGTCCTTAGCCAGAGTTTTCCTGTCAAAATCGTACAGTGGACTATCCTGGTTAATTTCATGGACAATGGTCACTGGAGTGGCAAGAATGATCTGATCATTTAGCAGTTTTAAGTCTTTGTACTCCAATATCATCCTGCCCACCTTGTCTTCCACATACCTCAAGAGCTGAGCTCTTACGGTTCCTTCTATCATATGATTAGGTCGGAAATCACCTATCCGCCACATCAGACAAAGTTTACCATCCCGTAAGCCTACTGTTGCATAGTAGCTAAAGCGAATGGTCTGAGCTCGCTTTCGGGCAGTGGCCATTTTTGCTAAGGCAGCTCCAATAATGAACGTGTCAATGATGCAGCCTAACACAGATTGTAGGACAACTGTCAGGATTGCTACAGAACACTCATCAGTTATACAGCGAGATCCATAGCCTATGGTGGTTTGGGTTTCCAGGGAAAATAAGAAGGCCCCTGTGAAACTATTGACATTATCCACACAGGGAGTGACTTCTTCTTCAGGCAATAAGTCTCCATGCTGGAGCGCAATGAGCCAAAACACTAAGCCGAACAATAACCAGGATAGGATATAAGATAAGGAAAAGATCACAAACATATGGCGCCACTTGATATCTACCAGTGTGGTGAAAATATCAGCCACATAGCTCTCCCACTCCCCGAAGATATGTTTGAAGTAAACATTGCAACTGCCATCTTTCTGAAGGAATCGCTTTTGCATTCTTTTAATCCCCACTGATGTAGTTTCCTGGTAACTCTGTGAATGTTTGAGTTTATTTGCTTCTATGCTGATAAGTTTATCGGTGTGCTCCGCCATGCTTCAGGTCGGTATTGTGAAATTAGTTTAGGAGACACGTTCAGTCATCTGTTGATCTGTCCCTCTCTTTTCATTTATAACCTGAGGGGAAAGAAAAACAAAGAGCAAAGGCTTGAGATTTTCAGTTGGCTTCCCAGTTTTGAAGCCATACGTGGAATCCTTATTAACTTAAATGGGAGATTGAAACAATAAATAGATTGTTTTTATGTTGCACCCTTAACCCTTAATATACAGTTTTCAATGGAACGCCCTTTTCCAGTGATAGTGATTTATTCAACTTCTGTCTTATTTTATCTTATCTTTAACCTGGTATGTTAACTGACTGAGATGCTGAGTCAGTGCTCATGGTCAAAGTATCCTTCAACCTGTGCTTGACAACAATTCTGTGGATACAGTCAGGTCATTCCCCTGGCAACTCTATGAACTTCTCTGAGATGTATGTCAAACTCCCTAGTCTATTTGTCAGTTCTACTATTTCCTAGAATTTCCGGTGTTACTATCCAAAGATCCCTCCCAATGGGAAGTAGATGGAGAGTGGTCTAGACAGCAAATATTTTCCATTGTAGCCTCTGGGTGATGGAACTGGATTTCCCTATCGCCAATACTTTTGCAAAGTATTGAAAAAACAACAATTATTTCAATGTACCTTTAGACCAAATTATTTGTAGATATCCACCATTTATTTATTTATTTATATGTATGTATATATGTATGTATGTATGTATGTATGTATGTATGTATGTGTATATGTATATGTATATGTATATGTATATGTATATGTATATGTATATGTATATGTATAAGTATAAGTATAAGTATAAGTATAAGTATAAGTATAAGTATATGTATGTATGTCACGATTTTTACTATTTGACAGAGTTTTAACCATGTTTTGTTGTTCATCTCCCAGATTCTTAATTGGCTGGGAGGTTTGCAAATGTTGCAAAATAAATAGATATAAAACAGGTCCAACCTAGCTTCCCTTCTGAACCTAGAAAAGTTCATACAGGTGCTGCCACCTACTGAGATGTATTTTACCTCTATCAGCGTTTTATGTTTTTGGCATCTCTAATGAAAAACTATGTCTAAATCTCCCATAAAAGTATTGGATTTCCCCCAAATATCTACAAAGCAAAAATACCTATTGTTTAAATTTTAAAACCAAGGCATATTTTAGACAATAATGTGACTGCTTTCTTATGTGGATATTCACCCAAAATTTATTTATGGTTTCACTTGGCTTTGGTAATAGAAGTCTCACATGAGGATCTCTTGGGTTTATTTTAAGTCTTAACATCTAGATTATGATTAAAGGTATCCTTGATACTTAAAAAGATGAGGGTGAGCCATTGTGTTTCACCCCAATATACTAAGTGCAATCTGATTGCTATAATGTACAGCAAAAACAAATTAAGTTTATATAGCGTCTCCAATTTCTCTGTTCACAAATATGATAGACAATGTTGAGAATCATTTACATGTTTTTCCCTTACACTTGAAGTATATATTTGTAGAGAATTTTATTGCTTGCTACTTGGTTATATAATTTGTAGTCTAAAGTAGTTTAATCAGTTATGTTACTTCTGCCCTGTACCTTTTTAGTATCATCTATTTGCTGTGCTACTTTATCTTTACTTTATTTTATTTTTTAATAGCAAGAGAAAGTTATCTATCTGTCCTAAGAATTCATGTGGTGAGAATGATGGAAACGTGAACTCAAAACAGTTGTTAGACATAAAGTTTCCTACTTCAGTGATACATTCATTTTTTCCCTTCTCACCCCACCCCAACCACCCTCTGTATTAAGCTTCTTAAAACATAACTTTTACAAGCAGAGATTACAAATTTAGAGTTACCAAAAAGGTTAGTAAAACAATGAATGCTCCCCCACACTCCAGTTTTTCATTGTGAAATATCTGCCCCACAGAGTGTAGTCCATCTCATTCAGGATGTGTTAGCCATATGAACAATAATGTCAGCTGTGCGAATACACTTTTCCAAAACACTTAAAAATCTAGCATACTTTCCTTTTCTTTTCCGGGACAAAAACGAATGTGACATATGGTGACATATCCTCAGAATGTGGCCTTCATTAAAACAACAACAACATAACTTTCGTGGTTCCAAAAATACTTCTGGAATGCAGTTATTGGAAATATTCATAGACTTGATGTAGCTGTGGCTTTAAGCACCCCTTCCCACTTTCATTCATTGCGTTTTCAAGAGCTATCTCATATAAATAAGAATGTGATTCATATTGCATAACTGAAAATCTTCTCAGTGGCTAGAACACAACATTTCTCCCAGGTGTGGATTCAGAGGAAACAACTAGGAGATGTATTCTCAGGAGATAGCCAACTCTGGCATCTGGCAAGAGTTCCATTCCATCTCTTACAAAGAGGGCTGCCTTTAGCCAGTTCTTCAACACCTATCTTCTGGATAGAAATAATCTTACCTGTTGCACTCACAAAGTTGTTGAAAATGAAATATAGTGCCAAGAATAAAGTTCTTTGACTTGGAAACTGCTCATCATTTCAGCCACCCAAATTGCAGACTTTAGCATGGCTTCCAGGACTTTGTGATAAGCTGATATATGTACAGATAGTCCTCATTTTATGACTAGTCTTCTAGTGACTGTTCAGAATTCCAGTAGACCTACCTGAGGGGCACTTACAACCCAGATTCAAAATTTCTGCTCGTTGGTCTTGTGACCACATTTTGGGCAGTCTGTAACTGGGTAGCATTTATGACCATCATGAGCTATGACCATGATGGGTAGGCTCCATGATGTTTGTACTACTTGAGAACGATACTGGTCACTCACATCTCAATAAACTCAGCATGTGAAAGATGGTAGAACATCTTTCTGTATCTTTAACATGTACCTTAATGAGAGACAGGAAAAATAATTTGAGATGTGAGCAGCCAAACAGTATTGTCGTGGAACATCTTGTCTAAAGGATCAGAAGTCCCTTATCATCTGCTTCCAGAAACTGATAGAATCTAAAGGATGGCAGAATACTCTGGGTATGGCTGGATCCCAAGCAAGATCTCAATTGAGTATTTCTCCTATGAGTCTATGGATATACTATTGATTCAGTTGCTTAATTGTTTGTCACTATTACTTTTCAGTCAGGAAAAGTTTGGTTTTCAGAAGTGATACAGATAGTGAAGTTCACCAGGTGACAGCTAGAGAGATAAGTTGGATATCTTAGCATGGATAACAGCACATTACCATGTGCTGTTAGCTCAGGAGAAAAAAGGCAACTGCATATTCTGCTGTTAATACTGCCCCATCAAATAAGCATGTAGCAGAATTACCTCATCTGGTTGAGAAGCTTTTAATATGGACTCCTAAAAATGGATTGCTGGATCCCATAGATACCTGCTCTGATTCACCTCTGCCAACCAATGATAGGCAATTAAAATAATACTTTTATTTGTCATATGCCTATAGCTTTGTAGGATACAAAATAATACAGTATTAATCATATAAACATGAATAATATAACTCAAGTTAAGACTACTAAAGTACAGTGCCTTAGTAAGCCATGATATCTAAAAGAATGATTAACAATTATAAGTAAGAAGAATACATAAAGCAGTTTTTGAAAATCCATAATAATAAATATCTTACACCTTTTTAAGATTTTTAAGATATCTCCCAGTAGAAAGACTGGCCTTCAATGCTAAAAGGTTGTTTTCTACACAGCTGTTATTAGTACAAGCAATTGCATGACTGGTTTTCTATACTGTAAGAAGAAAGGTATTGCAGTAATGGGGCCTATTAGCTACTCAGTAAAAAAATAAAAAAAAATGTGTCTTATAAAGTTTGTGGCCTTTGTTGTCCTATAATGCTCAGATTATGAGACAAATACAAGTTGGATTTGGACTCTTAGTAGAGAAAGGCAAATATCAGTGGTGGGATTTAGCCAGTTCGCATCTATTCAGGAAAACTGGTTGTTAACTTTCTAAGCAGTTCGGAGAACCAGTTGTTGGAAGAAATCTCATTTTGTTTTTTCCCACTTTACAGGGCTAATCCTGTAAGGAAGGCAGGAAGGAAACATTCTGGTTTTGTTTCTAGTCTAATCTTTATTGCCCTGCTAACAGAAACTGCCTCTCTGGTTAACCTTTATTAAATTGTAACAGCTAAGGTGAAGTGCCCATCCACATGAGTGACGTTGAGTTGGCCACACCCACCCAGTCACATGACCACCGAGCCATGCCTCTCATTAGGGTAGAGAACCGATTGTTAAATTATTTGAATCCAACCACTGCAAATATTCTTTCATAAGATGTGAGAAACTTGGTGGAGTAACTCCTGTGAACAAAGAATATTAATTGAAGAATTCATTTTGTTCAAAAGGAGCAGAAGTAATAGTAGGGGAAAAGAAGGTGTCCTCTTCACTAAAACTCTCCACACCAGCTCAAAAAGCCAAAGGAACAAATTTAGTGATACTGTAGATAGCATCCAAGTTAGTTTCAGTTTTGTATGGCTGCCCATCTTATAGCACTGGGTGGTTCACAATAACAAAAACTAGTAAAGGAGGGAATGCAAACTATTGTTTGTTCAACCATGGAATAACGTGAATAATATTTTCCAAAAGTAAACTGAAGATCTTTCAAAGAACATGATGTATCACTGATGGGAAACTTTAATTACTTTGCCATCTGTGAGAGATAAACTCTGTTAAATGGCAAATTCCTGACTTGTCTTACTGACAACTTTCTTCTTCAAAAGCTTGAGAAAGGCAGAAGAAGCTTGCTATTAACTTGTATGGTCAAGTTTATGAAATAACTATTTACTCTAAATGAGTTTAAAAACTCAAGAGTCAGATGAATTGAGACCTAGGGTTCTCAAGATTGCTGATGAATTGAACTTCAAGCATATTAGGCATAGATGGTTCTGGTCAGTCAAAAGTTAGATCAAGGAACAGCTACCTACTAAGCAGTATTTTGGATGGAAACAAAAATAAAATACATATTTCCTATCTCTCCATTTCCCTATGTAATGGCACTTTATCTTCTGGCCCAATTCTGCTGTCAAAGTAATACATGTGATTTATGCAATATATACAATA